ACCCTCCTCCTCCCTCCATAGCTTGCTGCCCTGCCCGCTCTCTCCGAAGCCCCTTGTACCTCGCTGGCCCACCCTCCCGCTGATCGGTGATCTGATCCAGATGCACTTGGTGGTTACGCCTCAGGGCGTAATGGCTAATTAGCATATTCCTCTGTTATTATATAGGATGGCATATATAATTTTTGAACAAATGGAAGTACGTGTGTGTGTGTGTGTGTGTGTCCTGCAAGTGCTTTCTGATTCCTTCCACCCGTCCATGGCGCTGACCCCTCCAGGCTGGCTGCGCAGAGAGGGGGCCCTGCTGGCATCCAGGGTGCCCCAGCCTGCAGGTTTCATGGACCCCTCCCTGGGCCTTTGGGGGAGATGGAGGGAGCCCTCTCCCTGGGTGCCCCTGCTGGCCATGAGCCCAGCCACACAGCCCAACAGGAAGGCCCTCCCACCCTCCCAGCTTCATGCGGTCACCCAGGGCAGCAGTCTCTGGCCATTGGCGCCATGGCGGGTGGCCCGGCATAAGAGCCTGGTGAGACAGGGTGGCTGGCACCCAGTCCCAGTCCTCGCACTGCGCTGCCCGAGAAGAAGCCACAGGGCACTGCAAAGGCGAACGGAGCAGAAAGCATCTGCTGCAGGAGCAGCCGGAGTCCACCTTCCTGAGCCCGGGCCTGCCCACCTCCCCAGGGCCCACTGTGCCCCAGGCATCCCATGGACAGCTCCCCTTCATCATCCCCTCTGATCCTCTGAAAGCTCCGGAGCTGTTAGGGGTCCGCTTTATAGAGGACAGCAAGGCCGAGACGCATTAGATGCTCTCGGTTAGCAAGTGCCAAAGTCAGGGCTGCACCCGCTTCTATCTCTAGCCTCCACTCACGCCTTTCACTACTGAGCTTTGCCACCTTCTGGGGGAGGGAACTGGGGCTTCTCACCCACCATCCCCTTGGCGCCCTGCTTCTCCAGTCCTCGGAGTGCCCCCTCCCAGCGCTATGGTGGCAGAGCTGCCCGAGGTGGGCTCTGGATCCTCGGGATCCCCGATCTGAGGATCTCACTGGACACTCCTGGGGGGTGGGGAGGGTCGGCCCCACTAGCATGGCCGGCTCCGCTAGGCACCCCACCCGGGAAGAGGAAGGACCCTGGAAGGAAGGGGTTACCTCTGACAGTCTCCGGTGGCTGGCGCTCCTGGAGTGCACACCCATCGCCAGGGATGCATTTAAGGGCCTTCTCCCCACCCGCTCAGCCCTTCTCCCGCCCACTCAGCCCTGGCACACCCCACCCACCCATGCCCGGGTTGTGTGAGGAGAGCAAAACAGTATTCAAATGCGGGTGCAGCATAATCAGGCCCTGCTCCCTGCGAGCCGGCTCTGGGATTAGCCCTTTGTTCTCCTCTAAAATGCAAGCATGTGTCTTTGCAGGCCTGGGTGGGGTCCCATCCAATCTTCAATGGAGCCCAGGCCTGTGTTTGCCCTGGGCGGGGGCTCTGCTGATTGATTCAGCCTGCCCTGAACTTCCTCCAAGTTTCCAAAGTGCAGCCGCGCTGAGCTCCCAGCCTCAGTTACATAAGCTCGGCAGGGGTGCGGTGGGAGCCGGGAGAGTCACGCAGCTCCCTGGAGATGCCCGCTGCGGGCACAGCCTCGTCCTCGCCCGCTGCCATGCGCACCGGAGCGGCCACCAGCGAGGCAGACTCCAGCCCTGGCCCTGCCAGCCAGAGCTCCCCCCAGCAGCAGGGAAGAGGGCAGGAGCCAGTGAGAACAGCCAGGGGTCTCCCTGGGGGGTCAGCCGGGAAGTGCTTGGGAAGGAAGGGATCTGCAAGCCCCTAGCTCCACCATTTACCGGGCGTTTGCTGGGCATCTGCTCTGTGCCATGCAGGGGATGGTGGCAGATCTGGGAAAACAGCCACTCACTGCTCCCACGTCCCCCGCCGCATGGACCCTGGCCGCCTCCTCCCGGGCACTTCCATCCACCCCCACTCACAGCCAGTGTCCCCGGCCTCCTTCCCATTGCACTGCTTTTCCCTCATGGCCCACAAGCCCCAGCTTGTGTTCGTGCCCTTCTCCCCGCCCTCCATCCGGAATGCCCCTCCCTACACCCACCGCCCAGCTCTGCTCAAATGTGCCATGAAACGGCACCGGCCTGGCATGGCTCTCCGTCCTCTCCCTCCAGAGCACCTCCCACCCCTGACATGCTGGTTCTCTCCATCGTCCGCTACCTGTCAGCCCCCAACTAGAATCTGACTTGTGACCTGCTACAACCTTAGCACCTAGAACAGTGTCTGGCACGTAGTAGGTGCTCAATAAATATTTGTTGAGCGATGGAGTAAACAGAAAATTTCAAAACGCTATGGAAACTGTAGCAATTGGAATGTACATACGGTGCTACAGGGACTCGGATAAGGGCCCGTGGAGGGGAAACAGCGTCTGAGCTAAATGAGGGGTATTTGGACACGGAACAGAAGCAGGGCTCGGAACAGCAGAAGCAAAGGCACAGAGGCAGGGGCCGAAGTCATGTCAGTTACTAACGTGCGGTGTGTGCGCGTTATTGGCAGGAGGCGAGGGAGGAGGCTCTGGGCAGCCTGTGGGCTCAGGAGGTCTGTGGGCGGGGCCGGGCTTGGGGTGCGGGGGCATGCAGAGGCCTATCCCTGAGGTTTCTGTCTTTAGGGAATCCCTCCCCATGAGGTCAGGACTGAAAGCTGCAGCCTCCAGTGGTGGAGACAAGGCCCAGTGTAGACGGGCAGAGTGGGAACATTCCGGAATAGCAGAAGGCCACATTGGCAGGCTCTGGTGCCTGGGTGCCTGGGTGCCTGGGCTGGGCGGTGGGTAGAAGATGGGGCACCCTCTGAGATGGGGCGGAGCAGTGGGTGGACCAGGCCACTTGTGCCAGCCTAGAACCCTCCTTCCACCTCCTGCTCCCACTTTTCTGGGGGTGGCGCCTGGTTATCTTCGGAGATGACCCTTGCCCTCTGCTGTAGACTTGGTGAGGTGGCCAGCGGGCACTCTGCCGCAGACTCGCCCAGGGGAGCGTGGGCCTCCGTGAGGTCACCCGGCTCTGCGGGGAGCTCGCTGAGGGGAAGGCAGGATGCAAGGCTGGAGCCAGAGGAGCTGAGTCATGGTGATGGCGGCTCCAAGCCAGAGGAGCTGAGTCATGGTGACTGTGGCTCCCGGAGATGGGCCGCTTGGAGGCTCGGCCTGACCTCCAGCTCCCCGCAGCCCAGGGGCCCTGATCGCCGCTGCTGCGGCTCAGCCGCCTGTCCTTCCACAACCAGTTCCTGTCTCTGGCCTCAGCTCCCCAGATGAAGATGGTCTTGTGAAAGGGAGCTGGGATGAGCCCCTGAGTCCCTCCTCTCGCCCCCGCCCGCCCCATGAGCCTCCACTGCAGTGCTCACTGCTCCTAAGGCACTGTGTCCACCTCGTTTCCTGAGAACCATGGAGGCAAATGGAAAACAGCGAAGGCGACGCTGGCTCCTGGAGCAGAGGGGCGGTCTGGCACTAATGGCGTGTTGTAAACGTGGTGTCCTTGCTGTCCTTGCTGACCTTAGGAGTAGCAGCTTCTCAGTCCTGACCATGTGGAGCCAGGAGTCTTAAACCTTATCTATATCTATGAGGACAAAATCTTTAAATTACCATCATTATTATTACTATTCTTTTGGTTAAGTTTCAGTGGGGCAGATACATGCTTTTTAAATTTTAATTTTTGCAAGCCCTAATATTCCCCCCCTTCCCCACAAAGCCTCATCCTAGCCCAGGTGCCGGCTCTTTCCCAGGGCCACTGTCATTGCTGCCTGCCTCCCTGCCTCCATCCCACCTTCCACAACACCTTCTCCAAAGAGCTGCCCGCGGGGCCTCTGAGCAACGAGGACCCGAGCATGTCCCTCCCCCATGGACACCCTGCAGCGGCTCCCCACCGCTCGGAGGGAAGCCTCCCGTGTCTGAGGTCGCAAATGGTCTGGCTGCATCTTCAGCCTCATTTTGTGCCACTTTCCAACATTTTCACTGCATTCCAGGCCACTGGCATTCCCGGCACGGCCCAGTCAAGCTCCTCCCTCGGGCCCTTTGCACCTGCGATTCTCTCCCTGAAATACTTGTCCATCCACGCTGCACCGCAGTGGCGCTTGCTCCTGTTCATCGCTCAGCTTCTCTGACCGCCCCGCCCCCAAATAACACCCTCCTTCCTTCCAGGAGCCGGTCCCAAACTGCAGTCATGGATTTGTGTGTGTGACGATTTGTGGATTATTTTTCTGTGCTCCATGTCCCCTCACAGACTGGAATTTCCGTGAAGGCAGGGTCTCACCTTTTGTTCAGCCCACATATCCTCGCACCAGCACAGCGCCAGTGCCAGCAGGCCTCGGAAGATCATGGAGGCAGCCAGTGCCCCAGTCGCCCTGCAGGTGGGCGGGCAAGGTTGAGCCAAGGCGGTGAGTAACCATCAGGCGTTGAGCTGGGTGGTTTTCAGCCCAGCCCAGCGGCTCAGCGGTTGAGCAGTGACCTATGAACCAGCAGTGACCCATGCCCTCCGCACACCCACAATTCACGGTTCAATTCTCGGTCAGGGCACATGCCCGGGTTGCAAGCTTGATCCCCAGTTTCTGATCAATGATTCCCTCTCATCATTGATGTTTCTATCTCTCTCTCCCTCTCCCTTCCTCTCTAAAATCAATAAGAATATCTTTTTTTTAAAAGCTGATTTTCAGCAAATTCACCTAAAGCTAGCAAATACACACACACACACACACACACACACACATATACTAGAGGCCTGGTGCACAAAAATGTATGCATTCAGGGGGGTCCCTCTCACAGTCTGGCACCCCTCAGGGGTGTCCACCTGCTGGCTTAGGCCCACTCCCCAGGGAATCAGGCCTACGCTGGCAGTCAGACATCCCTCTGGCAGCCCGGGAGCCCTTGGAGGATATCCGACTGCTGAGGAGGCAAGAGAGGCTCCCATCACTGCTGCTGCACTTGCAGACATCAGCCCAGCTTGTGACTGAGCAGAGCTCCCTCTGTGGGAGCATACTGACCACCAGGGGGCAGCTCCTGCATTGAGTGCCTGCCCCCCGGTGGTCATTGTGTGTCATAGGG